GCAAAAACCCCTCTTGACAAGAACCGGGCGCCTATCCTTTATACAACTCTCGAACCCCTCAAGACACCTTAGCCTTGAACCGAATGAATTCAGATCTGCAAAACAGAGAAACGAACAAGAATTAAATCCAAAAGATTGCAGAAATAAAAATAATAGAAAAGAAAATGAAGAAAATAAAAAAGTGGTTGATCAGATCCAATGGCGGTAGCTGCAGATTGGTTGAACAGCTTGCAGGAACCCCTCCTGACAAGATTTGGGTGTCCTCCCCATCTACAACCCTTGAACTCATCAAGAAACCTTAGCCTTGTTAACTGGGTGAATTGACCAACCCCTTCTCCAGGGCCCCTGGGGTCCTTTTTATAGAGAATGGTGGATATAACTGGAATTAGAGAGAAAGAGGGGGGCGGTAGCTGGGTTTTTTGTAGAAATATGGGTGCCCTAGGGTTTAGAATGAAGGGTTAGGATGGTTTTAAGGTGATCCTAAGGCTGAAAAGAAAAGGAGAGGGCACCCAATATTATGTAGGGCTGAGATTTAATAGCTAAAGGTTGAATGGTGAATATTAGAAGTTAGGTTGCTCCCTAGGGTTAGAATGCTAAAAAGAGAGTGCCCTAGAATGGATGGTGGAAATTAGAAGGGACGGAAGGTGAGGATTTAGCAGTTAGGGGCGGCTAGGGGTTATTAAGAGTGAAAAGAATGGGTTAAAAGGTGCCCTAGGGTTTGCTAAGGCGTGGGGAGCATGCTAATACAGTAGGAGGGGCACCAAACTGGGTTTAGCAGCTAGGAGGCGCCCTCCTGCTTTCAGTTTTTCACAAAAAACCCCCTCTCTCAGCTGGACTTCACACCAACTTCCCAAAATCTGCATTTCAGCCATGAAAACTTCCCAGTTTTCCCCAGAATTTGCACAGAGACCCTTAGAGGCCACAACATTGCATTTAACTAGGAAAATGGCACATCTTGACTATTCTAAGGCCGAAAATACGCATGAATTGATGCCCTTAAGGCATCAAAATGCAGAGTTATCAATAATCATGTTTGTTAGGTGGGTAATAAATTGGTGCTCAACATATCTAAAACATTGTTGCCAATTTTGTTATAATACAATCTCTTGTAGTCCACATAGCACTGTAGCTTTCATTGGGAAATATGTCGGTTCCAATAATATTTCATGTTGGTACCCATGGAAATGGAAATATGTCATAGAAATATTGGGAATTTTGTGGACATTTTAACCATGATTGTACATGTAGAGAACACTAATGTGGACCCCACTAAGGTGGTTAATTTCATGCCACAAGGATTTCAAGATTGAAAAATAAACAAAAACTTGTTTCTCACCTTGCTTGAGATTTTTAACCTCACATTTCAGCTCATAAGCCCTAGCAACATTAAGGGGCTGAGAGTAGGTTTCTTTCACAACATCCCATATTTTTTTAGCTGTTTTTGCCCATAAGTAATTTCGACTGATGTGTGGCTGCATGGAATTGCACAACCATGTCATCACCAAATAATTTTCCTGAATCCACTTAGCATAAGTGGGATCCTCTTTATTTGGTTCCTTCACATCTCCCAACAAATAGTTCAGTTTTCCTCTTCCCCCAATGGCCATCATGGCTGATTGGGCCCACTCTAAGTAGTTTGAACCATCAAACTTTACAGTTGTAATCTGGAAGGTATTTTCAATCATGCCACCTGAACCAGTCCCAAAAAAAACCCTCCCCTTGGTGCTTGAACTCCATTCTTGGTTAGGGGTTAAGCAAAAAACACCTATTTACTGTAACAATCAGCCTACTGGGTCTGAAAAAACTAACAGCAGTTGGCCTGGGTACAGAACTCCAAAAACAAAGGTCAGAGAACAGAAATCAGATAGCAGCCAAACTTAAAAACAAGTCTAATCTCTTATCCAGACACAGTAACARTCCTGGATTTCAGGGTTTTCTCTTAAAACCCTAGAAGAGAAAAAGAAAAAAAAAATTCTATATAGTCGTACCTCACAAATTAAGCTATCCTTGTTGCTGTCCTCGAGAAGGAATAAGACCTTACCCAGGAATTTCTGAGAAAAAAAAAACTGATCTTGATTCAAAAAAATCTTGCTGAAATTCTGATCGCCAACTTCAGTTTGCTCAAACTGATCTTGATTCTGATTAACCCGAGAAACTTCTGAAACAGAACTGATCTCGGAGAAAAATCTTCTTGATCGCCAACTTCAATCTTGATGAGAGAACCAAAAAATCTGATTGGCACCTCCAATCTTGACCAAAGACCTAACCTTGATCACTTAATTCTTCTCTGATTCTTCTTGATTACAATGAGCACTTTCCAATCCTTGGACAGTTGCTGAAGACTTCTTGTAATCTCCAAGAATCAGTCGAATGAAAAAAATTCAGCCCTAAATAATTCTCATGTGGTCGGCTGAATTAATTCCACATGAGAAACCCTAGATCGAATGCTCTGATACCAAGTAGTCACTTAGGATTCAACAGACACTTAAAAGGAGAAGAAAAAAAATAAGAAAAGAAGAGGGAGAAAAGAGGAAGAGAGAGAGAGAGATTTTGATAAAAGAGAGTTGGGTTGATGTGTTTAAACAGCCGCCCCTTTCTTAAATTTATGTACATAGTATCATACTTTTAAAAGGACTGAATTGCTTACATGGCAAGATAAGATAAGCTGAAAAAAGACTAATCCTAATCTTATAAAAAACTAGTCCTAATCTTATCATAAAGAACTAATCCTAATCATAACTTATTGCTGACATACGAACAGTGGGGACCACCTTAGTGGGGTCCACACTAGTGTTCTCCACAGTACATCAACATGCAACTTCATTGCTGAAAATTCCATTATGTAGACCAGCTCCTGAATGTCCAAAGTGATCATAAAGAGGTTTTGGAATTTTATAATACAACTCTCTTTTATTCTTTCTTGTACTTGAGGAGGACATAATTGCCCTTTCCCACCTTTTGTAACTTAAGAATATATAATACAACTCTCTTTGGGTGTGCAGGCACATTAGCCACAGCCACATAAAACATTCTTTCTTCCAAAAACTGTCTCTGACAAGCCCAACATGTGAAATGCATTTAAATTCAATGTTGTAATCCTTTTTGTATGTATCGGGCCAGTACAAGCCTGTTTCGGGTCATTTCTAGTCTATATCAGCCAATATGTGCCCAATATAGACCGATATTCTAGCTATCAGCTGATACATTATGGTTTTAATATCTAAACCCAATGCCTCTCTCTCTCTCTCTTTCTCCCTCTCTCCCTATAATTACTTGTGCATTTTGATTCATAAGTAAACTTTCTCTTCTTAGTGGATGCTTGTCAATAAATACTAAACTTGACTATTATTAAGAAAAATTATATTGATTTTCTAAAAATTAAGGTATATACATACACATTTTAGTTCTTCCATCATTTTTCAATTGTTACCAATTGTGCCCTGATATCTCATATTTTCTATAAACCATTGAAGTATGGTTTTTATGTTTAAATAACTTATTTATAGTCATACAAAACTTGTATTTATTGTTATCAACATAGTTTTTAGAATTTATTTGAATTTCCTAGTGTATCCGTGTGTATCCCGATATTTCTCTTAAAATTACTTTGAGTCTTATTCCAGATTGATCAACTTAGAGAATTTCCATTTTATATTTTTTCTGTAATTTCTTCTGAATTGATATCTTTTTAAGGGATTGTATTGCCAGTAGACCTGTTCATGGGCCAGGCCGGGCCGGGCTCGGGTCGGGCTTTTACTCATCATTAATGGAAATACGCTAGGCCTGAGCCCGAGCCCGGCCCAACCAACGGGCCTATAACTTGGGCCCGAGCCCGGCCCTGATAAAAAGCCTGAAGCCCGACCTAATAAAAAAAATTACAATTTTCCCTATTCAAATTAGAATTAAAAATTCAGATGGTTTTTTTTTCCTATTTAAATGAACAATGGGCCTACAAGATGGTTTTTTTCCCTTTCTTTTACGTTTTAAAACACAGTTTTACATTCTTAAATCAAAAAATTTATTCAAATGGACATAATCACATAACCCATTTTAAGTCTAATTTTAGGTCAGGCTGGGCTATTTTGACAAAATCCGAGCCCGGCTTATTGCGGGCCGGGCTTTTTGGCCCGAGTTTAAGCCCGCGGGCTTATAAACATGTTCAAGCCCGTCCGGGGGCCGGGCCGGGCCGGCCCATCAGGCCACCCGGCCCATGAACAGGTCTAATTGGCAGTATGATTGATTGTTCTCTCCAATCAAAATTTTCAAGTTTCCCCTTTATTTTTTCTTTTGGTTTGTACAAAACTGTTGCATTCTTGTCATTTTGGATGCCTTCATTTTATATTTAGGATTGGAAGTCAGTGGAATTGGTTTAGAAATGTCCCTTCCACCCTATTGCAGTTTCACTATTCCTCTTTTGCCTAGTGGAAAATTTCTCCTTCAGGCATTTTTACTATTAAGTTTTTGTTACAGGTTTGGTTTCACTTTTCAAGGAATCTCTTCATATTTTGAAATTTCAGAATCAGTGATTAGAGATGCTTTTTTGTTCATTGCATCTGTTTGGAATAGAGCAGTTCTTACATTAAGATCATTGGCACAAGGAAGTGACTGGAATTTTTTCTTCAAGGTAAGTTTTGTGTAATTACTACGTAATGAAAACCAATAAGACGTTGCCTTTCTCCATACTGATTTAAAGTAAATTTCATGCTTATAATGCCATTTTCAGTGGATGGAACTCTATGGTATAGTTATTCTAGGTCTAACCATCATATAAGAAGATCCAGAAAGGTTTTGTGCATGTAGAGGGTCCTGACCCACCAATTAGAGATTAGATCTTTGAGATCTAGTCCAGAAGTTGAATCCAAAATTTCAAGGAGTTGGCAGATTTTGATCATTGTTGTCATCTGGTTTGGTTGGTTTTGATAATGCCATGCTATCATGTTAGTTTCTTTAAGCTAAACCTTATTTTTACAAAGTATATTTCACCAAAAATTAATTTTTATGATGATTTGTCAAGGTATACCTAGTGTTTTAGAAGGCGTGGGAGGAATACGCCTGGAGGCGCTCCCAAAACGCCCTGAGGCGTTGACATACGCCTCATGTGCTTTTTTCATGAGGCGTGCTAGAGGCGTACGCCTCGTGCACCTCATGCACACCTCATATAAAAAGACTGAAAAAAAAAAGAAAAAAAGAGAAAAAGAAAAGGAAAAGAAAAGAAAAGAAAGGGAAGGGAAAGAAAAAGAAAGGAAGAGAAGAAAAGAGAAAAGAGAAAAGGGAAGGGAAGAGTAAAAGATAAGGAGAAAGAAAGTGGTCTGCCCCCAGCCCCTTTGGCTGGGGGGCAGAGTGCCCCAGACCCTGACCCCCCGCCCCCCTTTTCAATGCAGCCCATTTTTTTGTGCTAGGCTTTCAACTAGTGTCATGCATTTTTGTTCTTAATATAAAGAAAATATTAAAAATAAAGAAAAATGAGATCCCCCTTCCTCTTCTTCCTCCAAACCCCCTTCCTTTTAAGGTGGCTTACGCCTCCTTGTGTTTGGGAGGCTTACGCCTCTTACGTTCTGAACTACACCTCATGCCTCTAGGTAGTGGAACGCCTTGTGTCATGCCTCCATGTTTTAAAACATTGAGTATACCTTCCATATATTTTAGAAATGTTCATGTTATAAAGCACACTCCCTACATGTCCATGCAATCTGGTATCATCATGTCATGTCTGACAAAAGTAGGTAAAGCATGCAAAGTTATCCAAGTGTCATTTTTGTCAATATAATATTATATTGGGGTTTTTCCTTCTCTCATTTTTTATTTGGGAGGGGAGGAGGAAAAGACGCATGAATTTCTTTCTGTTTTATGTTTTGGCTGGGGTAATCAAAATTCTGCTTTGGAGAAGCTTCCAAGCAGATTTACATTGATTTGAGTTGGAGAACCAACCCATGAATGCTTTGTGTAGATCTCCCCAAATCCTCCTTGGAAATGTTATAAACAATAAAATCATTGTATCTAGGAAAAGGCAGAAACTTAGAGCGAAAAAAAAAAAATCTGCTTGGAATGTGAACTTCAGTACTCAGTCAGTCCCAGAGACGGTCTCAGAGGATATTTATATTTTCATTGAATCACTAGAAACTGAAACTTTGTCAAGCCCAAAATCAGCAGCAAGCACTGAATTCTCTAGTTTACCAGGCCACTGCCACTTCATTGCTGGCATAACTTGGAACAGTCTTAGCACTTTAGCAGACATAACTATCCAGGACCTACATAGACAGAAGCTGCTACTGCACAACTTGACTTGTAGTTCCATGGAAGTGATATATAACCCACAAGGATACTCAAATATGGACTCTAACCATTAAACCAACTTCAAAACCAGAGCAAGTCAAATATAAACCCAAAATAGAAATTTTTTAATCATGTCATAGGCTTAGACCCTATTATCAATTTTTTTTTCTACCCTATTATATGACTCTAAAAATATGTTAGATTTACATGATCATGATCTTGTCAGATAGATTGCTTAATAACCTATCTAATGACACCAAAATCACATAAAATGGGCATTTCAAGATTCTAAGAACTCCCTAATAGGACTCTAATAAGACTCTTTGAACTAGTTTGACCCTTTAAGAAACTTAAACGATAGTCCCAAGGCACTAATAATTCTATAAAATAAACTTTAGAAACTTAAATTGACCAAAAGTTGAAGGGACCTTAGAGAGCGAAGTGACAACCTAAGTAGAGCCATCTCATGATCTAGTCTAGTAATCACCAAACTAAAGTTGGCCAATGAAAAGCCAACGCATACCATGCCAAAGAAACTGAAGTTAGTCATTAAAAGGCCAATCACAACCACCAAGCTGAAGAACCAACAATGTCAAACAACTAGATAACCGAAGATGCCAACAGAATTGCCAAAACAGAGTTGACTATCGGAAAGCCAACTATGGTGAAATCCATAAACCAAAGTTCGTCAACAGAAAGCCAATTATGAACTCCATAAACCAAATCAAGGAATTGGAGTTGGCCAACTAGATTAAGTGAATCAAAATCCCAAGTCTCCTATGGAGATCAAAACTCCAAGGATTTCCTCAACAATAGCTCAGAACTGATGAGCATAATAAAGGATCATTGCTGAAACATTTCATAAAACATCTTCCATGAAGAAAATGTATGAGGTAAACAAATTGGATATTGGACAATTCATTTTCTCGAGCAACAAATAGTCACCTTGAGATTCGATATTACATGCTGGTATTGATAATCATAAATTGACCAGAGAAATTGCAGAGCTTCTATAACATTTCTTTGAAAAGTTAGAACTCCCAAAGAAAAACACCAAACTTGGTTAAATGACCAGCAGTCAACCTTTATGACAATAATTAAACAGCTGATATGCAACATAGAAACCAGAATTTTCTTGAAGATATAAACCGGTTTAAATGCTAAAGAGCATAGCCCACCCGACAATGAGGGAAAAGATAAATCCTTCCATGGAGAGAGTCCTTCCAGAGAACCAACAAAGGAGGAAATTAAAAAAAAAAAAAAAGAAAAAACTTTAATAGCATAGCATTAAAATAAGGACTGGAAGACACCATAGTTTACCAATCATATCAGATTTCCTTGCCCAAATGGCCCTTTGATAAGAAATAATATCACCCCTTTAGGGGTCTAGTAAAATTCCAGAAAAATGATGAAAAATACTCACAAATATTCCCCATTGAATGGTAAAAGTCCCTTTTTTTATCAGCAAAATGAGAATTTTATTCAATTAATATAATTAAAATAGAGTTACATCAGAAAGAGCGCAGACAATTCAATAGAAAATGTTAAATTAAAGCCCAAAAAAGTTGTTGCCTTTGAACTCCCTGTTTAGCTAGAGAGTCAGCCATTCCATTTGCAGTTCTCCTGACCCATGTGAATGAGGCATTAAGTTCCCTTGCTATGCTTACTATCTCCCTTAATGTTGTCTGTAGTTCCAAGGAACATTAGTGCTTGAATTGGGCCAAGATTTCACTGTTTTTGAGTCCCCTTCTATCCCCAAGTTCTTAAGATCAGCTTGCTTGGCAACCTTTAGCCCTTGCAGTAGGGCTAACAGTGAGCAACTTTTATCTTTATGGCCTCCACAATAGCCTCTTTTGGCCTATGCTTCTTATTGAAGATTCTTGCATTCCCTTCCTCCCATATTGTCCAAACCTCTGCCGCCCTTGCTGATTTCCACATAACCTTTCCTCTTTTTGTTGGCTGCCTTAGAAAGTTTGGATTGAAGAGGCTTACTACATCTTGGGGAGCACTCCACCTACAACCAAAGAGAGAGCATAGAGATTCCCATACAAAAAGGACAAAGGGGCAATGGATCAATAAATGGGGCAAGGGTTCACCATTAGCAGAGCAAAGGATGCACATATAAGGGGAGAGGCATTTATTGGGCCTCCTTTTTTGAAGCATGTCACAAGTATTTATCTTCCCAAGAAACACCTCCCAACTAAGAGCTTGAATTTTTGGTGGAATGGGCTTGCTCCAAATCTCTTTCATCGGAAAATTCTCACCCCCAACAGGAGTTTGTACAAGGGTATTGAAGAAAGAAGCACAAGTAAAGGTTCCATCAGAAGAAGCAGACCATACTCTGGTGTCCTCCAAAGATGGATCGAAGAAAATTGACTTAAGAGTATCAAGCAAGCAAATAAGAGACTCTTATTCATTATCCCTCAAACCCCTTTTGAAACCAAAATCCCAACTCAATCCAGAGTGGGAAAAGGTGACTAAATTTGAGATTGGTTGTAACTTGTAGTTAGAGATTGAATATAGATCAGTGAATATGGAGCAAAAAGGAGTATCACCCAGCCAAAGATCTTCCCAACAAAGCACCCTAGATCCCACATCCCACATCAAATCTGATGAGATTAAGAAAGATAGGATATACCTCTTGTATTGCTTTCCATGGAGAGCTCAAAGAAGATGTGGTGGCTATCTTTGCATCCCAGCCATTGTTCATCAGCCCGTGAATGCTTTCTATCACCTTGTGCCACAGCCTATCTCTTGCCAATGGGAATCTCCAATGTCACTTTCCTAACAAAGAAGTACTCCTATGAACTAAGTTCCCCAGTCCTGCCTCCCTTTTCCTTTGTTTTGCTGACTTGTTCACACTTGACTAGATGATCCCTCTTTTCCTCCCCATGTTCCCAGAGAGAATCCCTCATAAGTTTTTCTAGATGTCCTGACACTCTAACTGGGATTCTAAAAGTTGAAAGGAAATAGAATGGTAGATTTGCTAGAGTTTCTCTAATCAGTTTTATTCTCCCACTTATGGACAAATAATTCCTCTTCCATAGTGCCAACTTCCTTGTGAACCACCACTAGCTTCCAAAAATCTTCTAATCTTGGATTTCCTCCCAATAGTAGCCCTAAGTAGACCTGTTCATGGGCCGGGCTTTTACTCATCATTAATGGAAATACGCTAGGCCCGAGCTCGAGCCCGGCCCGACCAATGGGCCTATAACTTGGGCCCGAGTCCAGCCCTGATAAAAAGCCTGAAGCCCGACCTAATAAAAAAAATTACAATTTTCCCTATTCAAATTAGAATTAAAAATTCAGATGGTTTTTTTTCCTATTTAAATGAACAATGGGCCTACAAGATGGTGTTTTTCCCTTTTACGTTTTAAAACACAGTTTTACATTCTTAAATCAAAAAATTTATTCAAATGGACATAATCACATAACCCATTTTAAGTCTAATTTTAGGTCGGGCTCGGGCCGGGCTATTTTGACAAAATCCAAGCCCGGCTTATTGTGGGCCGGGCTTTTTGGCCCGAGTTTAAGCCCGCGGGCCTATAAACATGTTCAAGCCCGTCCGCCCCCCGTCGGGCCACCCGGCTCATGAACAGGTCTAGCCCTAAGTACTCCAATGGCCATTGTTTGACTCCACATCCCAAAATCTCTACTAGCTCTCTCAAACTTTCATCTTCCAAGTTAATCCCTGCTACACAACTTTTCCCCCAATTAACCTTCAATTTGGAGAGTGATTTAAAGGTGGTGATGAGCTCACAAAAAATTTCTTATGCTCTCCTGGTTACCTCCCTCACAGAATAAGATGATGTCATCTGCAAACTGCAAATGTGTGACTGTCACCTCAAGTCTTCCTACCCTCCATCCTCTAAAAAGGTTTCTCTGATCAACCTCCATGATCATCCTACTTAGGACATCAGCAATTAAAGTGAATAGGAATGGGGAAAGGGAATCCCCTTGTCTCAATCCTCTTTTCGCTGGAAAGTAGTCTCTAGAGTCTAGCCACACCATTAATCATGATCGAGTATTGCACTGAACTAAGGCATCCCTTCATCCACATCCTCCACCACTTCCCTATCCCAATTCCCCCCATAATTTCTAGGAGAAAAGACCAGTCCACAAAGTCATAAGCCTTCTTTAAATCCAACTTGCACACCACACCCCTCCCTCTCCTCCTCTTCTCTAATACACATTCATTTGCTACCAACACCTGGTCCCTTACAAATTGCTTTACAAATTCAAGCATTATAGACCTTGTGTGAACAATAACTCATTTGCTAGCCTTCATTGGTTCACCAAACTAGCTCCCACACTAAACCTGCTCCAATACCATGTCAACTAACAAAAAAGAGACTTAAATCAAGAAGATAGGAAGAAGAAATAGAGAAAACACCAAAGTTTGACATGGTTCAGCTTGGTAGCTTACATCCACAAGAAGAGAGGGAAAAATATCCACTAGGAGAAAAGAGATACATGACTGACCTCTCTATAGACTCACAACAAGATATCCACTCTCACTTTAACCCTAATCCCACACAGAGGCCCAATTATATCAGGTTTTCACAGAGGCCCCTCTTCATTCCATAAATACATACAAGTCCCTAAATGCAAGGTTCTAAGTATTGATACGATACAAGTTTCGGTCGTATCGTATCGGTACTTAGAAACGGCCGATACATACTTTTTTTTTAGTTTTTTTTCAAAGTTCAGTTTTTTGGGAAGCTTATAAGATATTTTTTATTATTAAAAAAAATTTGGGGGTCCGAAACACCTAGAAACAGGCGTTTCGGACCGTATCTTTTTCAAAAGGTACGATACAATACGCCCCGTATCAGGCGTATCGTATCGATACTTTGAACCATGCCTAAATGTTATCAACATTGCCGATATACCCCTATAACCTCTAACACCAAGATGGGTAAATGCAAAATAACATCAAGATCAACTACCATTGACTATTTGACCATAATCAATGACTGGATGAGCTAACTAAAATAAAGGGGCATTATGTGATGTGCCAGTAGAAGATTATGGTGGACATATAGTAGTATCTTTTGTTCTTTTCAATTATCAATATATATATATATATAGAAGTATCTTTGTTTCCTGAAGAAATAGGAGAGGTGAGTTGAATTGATTCTTTCCTTTTTATATATTTTACATGAATTGATTCTTTACTACCTTCATGTCTAAAGTTGTATGGTAGTGTGTAAGGGGGTGTCCAATGGAGGTTATATTTTACTTCTTAAGTTTCTGATAATTCCCTATAAAAATTTCAGGTTGCAACACCTTTATATTTTCTGAGGTTGCTTTTACCGTTTTCCTTCTCTGCAGTTGTCAGTGTAGGTAAGGTGTAATATAAGCTCAGACTCAGAACGCAGTTTAAATTTTATCTTTTTGTTTTGATTTTTTATAACACTATTGAAACACAATGCAGCATTGGTTTTTGTGTTCACTGCATTCTTTGTGTATGAGCAATATGAAGATGAAGCCAGTAGAGTAACTGAAGCTGTTACCATTGGTACGAGGAAACTAAAGGGATTGTTGATTAGAAAATTGCCACCATCCTTATCAGCATTTGCTTGTAATTACAACATACTGTCTCAAGACGAATTTCCTGCTGGACCTAAGGATCAACAGATTCAACACCAAGAGTAGCTAATAACTTGTCCAGTTTCATTAACTGTTAAATTCTTGCAGTATAGATCAAGCCATAGAGATGGGGTAAGTTTCTTCACACACTAGAAGCATTGTGATTTAGTAATCCATATATTAGAAAGTCTTGAAGTACCTCACTACTTTGTTGGTGCCTTCTTGATGAGTATCTTATTGAGCATGAATGTACTAATGAATTTCCCAATGGCAGACATTGTCATGTCTGGTAAATCACTAGTAAAGAAGATCAACCGGCCTCTGTAATGGTCCTTTATCAGCTAACTACTCACTTTCATTCACATTTAATAGGATTATGTTTAGTAGAGAGCATCGGAACAGATTTACCTCCCAACTTTCATGTATCTTTCAATAATGTAAGACACTATTTTTGTAGGAACAAGAATTCTTGAACTTGCTGTTTCACTACCAAGGAATTATTTAAAATATCATACGTTTTTTGTTTCAATTTCTAAAGTTGTTTCAACTACCAAATTCAATTCCATTTAGTAAACTCAATAAATAATTGTGGTGATATGGTGCATATGCTCTTCATTTAGTTCCATATCACCAGACAAAAGGTATCAGTACTGCTCAAGACCAAACAACAAATGAAGATATTATTATTGAGAATATCTGAATGTGAATATTAAGTTATATTGAGCCAAAAAAATATGAATATGAAGTTATAATGATCCAAAAGAAAATATGAATATGTAGTTATTTTCCATTCTTATTTCCCAAAACTCTTGTTGGTTTGTTAAGCTTAGTATCTAAGATTCATGAACCATGAAGAAAGTTGAGCCAAATGAAGATATGTCTAAAAAGGAGAAGATCCTCGTCTCATTAACATCAACAAAGATGACCTAGATTGTCAAACAGGACCTTTTCAATAGATATAGACTATAGAGATCAAGTAACCCAGCGGTTAAGAGCCCTTACACATGGTAAGAGGTTCATGGAATTCTTACAATAACAATTAACAAAAAAAAAAGTAATGTAAAGAAGCCTTTAAAACCACCTCTAACTCTGAGCGAAGGCACTAGAAACAATAATCAGTGGATAAGATTGAAAAAAAAAAATCAACATGATGGTAGCAAAGGAATTAAAGCTACCAGACTAAAGAGGAGGAATGAACGAACAATCCAAATTATTGAAAGTTTCACCAATATATATCAAGCACAACATTAAGAATTGCTTATCTTTAAAGCCCTCATTGAAGAAGGTTGACAAGTGGTTAAAGTCTCTTCCTACAACAGCCCATACAATCTCTGCTCTAGACATTTGAAAAAGAGCCAGTAAATAGGTTATCTTTAAGATCAAGGCTAAATAAGAAAAAGAGGCAAAGTGTTTAGAAAAAAGCAATGACGGCTTTATAAATGAAAAGAGAAGAAAAAGAAGTTAGATGCAAAGTTGAAGAGAAAAATGCTTAAAATTGATGAAATATTGATACAACCTCCATGAGTTCCAATTCACCCCAAAGAACTATCTCTATTGGAGTTGAACGGTGTGGGACTAAAACTAAATGAAGAGCTCCTATGGGGACTAATAATATGAAACAACATTTTTGTAAGTGACCAAGTCTTGCCTGCCCACCATGATAAGGAGATTTCTATGTATCAGATTTTCTACTTAGACATCTTTTCCTTTGCTTAAAGAGTTGCAGAGAGAATTCCTGGGTTATGTAGAAAAGAAGAAAATGGTAAAAATATACACATCTTCCATGAAGGCAATGGTTGCCACTTACCAGTAACATGATTGAGACATGTAATTGAACTTGCGCCTCAATACATATTAGGGTGAATTACTGACTGCCACCCTTTATCTTGGGGGTAGTGACACTTAACCTCCCAAACTTTCGTTTGTGACAAGGGTTCAACTTTGATACCATATCATAAAAGTAGCAACCAATCAGATGGCTATTTAGTAAAGTCACCGGGAGGGGGTGGTTTGATTGGTTAAAGCCTTTCTGTTGGTATAAATTTTTCCTTGTGACAAAGACCCACCCTAAATTTTGCCGTCACTGTTAACATTCCGTCAGTAATTTTAAAAAAGATTCTCATGTGATTGTTATATAAACATTTCTAAAACCCCAAATTGCCCCGATAAGATTTTATGAGATAATTTTGCAGAAATTTGATAGTATACAATAAAAACGAAAAAGAAGGAACAGTATGGAACTATAGAAAATAAAAGAAATATAACAAAATACAAAAATAAACAGAAAAATGCTTAAGATACAACAAAGAAAAAGATGAAATGCAAATAAATGGAAAACTACAGTAAATATTGAATTTTGCAAAAAACCGACAAAAAGGAAATTGAAAAAATGTAGATATAATGAAAATACAGAAAATTTCAGACAAAGAAAAAGAGGAAATTTAAAAAAAAAAAAAACGAACGATAAAAGGGATGCAAAACTTTTAATGGGTATTTTAACAATTTTATCTTTACTGTCAAGCCTGTTATGGGCGGGGGAGGGGGCAAAATGCTGGAATCTGAAAGTTTAGATTATCTACCTTGGGTAAAAGGCTTCACACTGAGCTTTGGATACTTCATTAACGTGATAATGAACATTGCATATTTAGAAGTTGATGCGAATGTAATAGATAGATTGAGATTATTACAACACCTCCCGCACTTAAAAAAGGAGAAGCAAGAAGACAATGATATGAAACAGATAAACTTAGGTGGTGCCACGTAGAAATCACATCAGAATAAAGCGATGTTTCGGAAAATGGCCTCTTGTTTGGTATCGTTTTTTTAGGAAAAAAATGTTGCTCTAGACCATACCTTGAAAATCGGGAAAGTGTGGTATGACGAAACACCAAATTCAATGTTTGTTTTCAGAAAACAGCCCATGCTGCCAGTCGTGCAATGTGGCATCATCTTAGACTTTGGATAATATAGACCAAGATAACGTCTACATCACTGGTACCAAATAAAACCAATGTTGTTTTCCCAGAAAACAGCCTATGTGGCAGCACCATTTCCAAACAAAAAATCAGTGCTTACAACTTAGGCATTTTGTGTTCTCAGCCAAGGTTCAAATTTTCAATACAATACACCTGATACGCCTATTTACAAGTGTTTCGGGACCCCATTCTTTTTTAATGAAAATGCATGTATTTAACTCTCCAAAAACCAAATTTTGAAAAAAACATATTTTCACATGTATACCTATATGCCTCTACCGATAAACAGAGGTATATCGATACTTTAAATCATGTTCCTAGCACCGATGCCAAACACCTATTTAGAATTTAACAACGATCTGGATTCACATTAATCAATGCGTCTATCATGCCCAATAGAGAAGATGTATATTGATTTCCACAAATTAAATAGAAACGTATCTGCATTTTGCATGGACATACTAAAACTTCTAGGGTTTGACTAAAAAGTGGCTTATCTATAAGGCTATAAGCTAGCAATGTCTGGTGGGCCTCACGTGCTACCCCCGATTCCCATCTAAATCGTAATATGCAATACAAATAAGTAAATAAACATGGTGGAAAAATTAAGATATTGTAGAAAATGATGAGAATTCAAGCAAATAAATCTAAGAAATACATCAATAAAACTATTACAGTCTCAAATGACAATGATTATAAGGTGGGTTCAACTATGATTTCAGAAAGACATGATACCAGAAAAAACTTATAGCCAATCAACCAGCATCATAAAAGTGTAACCAATCAAGTGGGTTTTCACTAAAATTCATGGAGGGTTTTGATTGCTCAAGGCCTTACAGTTATTATGTCTTATCATATATTTGTATTTAGACACATACAAAATTAAGATATGTGTGGTAAATGATGAGAATTCAGAAATACACCAATAGTACCAAGGTCTCAAATGACAATGACTATAAGGTGGGTGATTTCGAAAAGACATGATACTAGAAAAACTTATAACCAATCAACTACCATCATAAAAGTGATAACCAATCATGTGGGTATTCATCAAAATTCATGGAGGGTTTTGATTGCTCAAGGCCTTTCAGGCATTATATCTTATCATAGATATGTTATTTTTTTGGTAATACATATCTATTATCATAGATATGTATTTAGATACATATGTTTTGATAGTTTATGTGAACTATGGACTACTATTAGGGTATGCTAAGGAAACATTGGGAAATTAGTGAAGAATAAAATTATGACTTGAATCAAGAAAATTACTATTTAAATGATCAATTGATTATTGCATTTCTTTTTTTTCTGGTTAATATAATATTATAAGAAAAAATGATCAAATAGTTTAAAAGGCTAAAACTCAAAATATATGTTACTTTATTTAAGCCATGAAGCAAAACAATGTTACTTTAACAAATTGTTGTATGATAGCTTAGTCGAAAGAGTCTCTCTTTCATGTGGTGACTTGTGATCAAATCTTATCAGTTGCATTTATGTATTATAGTTTTTAGCAACATTAATTAATGGGGTGATTCAAATTTGCAATAGATGGGTATAAATGGATTTGCAACAATTGATATCAATTTGTAATGGAGTTCAGATCTCATACACTTGTTATGTTGCACCTGGATTTGTGATTTTGTTCTTCCAGCAAAACGGCCCATGCAATCCCTACATGCACTTCCAACACTTATGCTGTGTTTGGTTGCAATGTGAATAAATTTACGCTGATGCAAAACTATGGCAGTGCAAATGATTTGAATGTAAATTTTGACTTATTTTTGTTTCAAATTTTAGTTTATCTTGTTTTATTGTAGTGCAAATAAAGTAAATTAAGACTTGAAGCATAATAAAGTAAAACCCAAAACAAAATTAAGCAAAATTTTACATTTTTCCATTTGCACTCCAATGCATTTGTACTAGTACAAGTAAAATTGCATTGCAATCAAACACAGCCTTAGTTTCAGTTTGGAAAGAGTAATACAAATATATACAGTATAAATACATATAAAATAGAAGGTTGTGCACTCTAAAAATTTGTATTTGTAATACAAAATGAGAAGAGTACATTAGGCTCAATTTGTTGATGCTAATGAGAAGAATCTTCTCCATTTTTAATACAAGGTTTTGCACTCTAAGTCAAACCCAATAAGGCAATAACTTCAAACCCCTTAAACCCTTTCTCTTTCGCATGAAAAAAAAATGTTAAAAACCCTTCATCTTGTTTTCCCCTCTCTCATCTACATTGCCAACACCACTTTTCTCCTATTGGTCACCAATAATCGCTGTTCTTCCTACTCATATCAATCAAAAGATCAATGAATAGCAAGAATAGTATTGAGTCAACATTCAAGGTTTTCAAAAATCTCCCACGAGAAAACTTTTTAAAAATTTATATCTTCTAGTTCTAGTTTCTTGATCTAGCATGATCCAAGGGATAGGGCTAGATAATCATAAATTGGAACAGGGGTATCAATTTTTATATGCATTGATGGATTTGTTCACATCACTATGAGTTGAGGACTTGT